AGGAAACTAAGGCAGGAGGGTGGCAAATTAGAAGCCTGCCTGGGCTATATAGTAAGGCAGTCTTAAAATAGAATTTAAAAAAGAAGGAAGAGAACAAAAATCAAATGGAGGAAGGAAAAGGGAGAAGGGTAGAGAGAGGGAGAGAGAGGAGGAAGAGGAGGGAAAAACAAACAGCATAGCTGATACCCTGAAAGAGTTCCGACAGCAAGGCACCCTTCCTAAAACCCAGGAGTACTAAAGACTGATGCCAATAAAACAGTAATGTTGGACTGGGGTGGGCAGTTCAGTGGTAAAGCACATGCTTAGTATGCTCGAGGTCTAGGTTTCATTTCCAGCACCAAAAATAAATATATAAAATAAACTTTATTCATTCACTCGCTCATTTTTATACCTTCACACTGAGCTACATCCCCAGCCTGCTTCATATTTTGAGACAAGTTCTCGCTAAGTTGCTAAATTGCCTAGGCTAGGCTAGAATCTGCAATCCTCCCAGAGTGCTAGGAATACAGGTATGTGCCACCATCCCTGACTACCCATGAACTTTATAAAAGCTCTTATAAGTGCCACTGTGATTCATTATCCTGATTCTGTTATCTCAAGTACCATACCACCACACCCACATGCGACAGATAAGGAGTACTCTGGCATGTTCATGTGACCCTCCTACACACACACACACACACACACACACACACACACACACACACACAGGGTCTCGGAGCCTAAGAGATAAGTCTGGTTCTCTAAATAGAGCAAGACAAAAATGCCAAGTGCTAGAAGAAACACAGAAGTTGCTGAAAGTTTTGAAAGGGAGAGCTCACTTCCCTAAAAAGGAGTGGGCCTTCCGTTCTTGAAAAAAAACATATTGAACAGCTAAAGTTCAGTTTTCTGTATTTTGAGGCAAGGATAGCTGTGGGTCCTCCCTCCCTTCCTTCTTTTGTCTGGTGCTGGAAAATTGAACCCAGGGCCTTGAACATGCTTAGTATGGGCTCACTCACTAAGCTGAGTCCTCAGCCTGGGTGGGTACTTCTTGATTTGCAGATGTGTAGAGCATTTGACCAGGAAAGAAGAAATGTACTGTTATTATTTTTCAGAAGTTTTTAGTATAGAAAATTTCAAACACAAAAGCAGGAGTTAACATGATGAATATATTTTATGAATTTTGCTTCCACTATCTCTCCCCAACTTTTCTAGAATATTCTGAAATATATCTATTTTATGAAGAGAATATTTCAATACAGATCTTGAACAAATAAGAAACTAAAATTACTTGCATTGTCATTATCCTAGCTAACAAATTTAATTCTTTCATGTCTCCAAATATTTGGTTGCTATGATGAAAAGTTCCCCATTTGCCTCAAATAATGATATGATGATGATGATGATGATTTGCAGTGGTAAGGATTGCACCCAACACCACATATACACTCAGTGAGCAACTAACCATGGAGCTACATCCTCAGCCTTCCAAATGATCTTAATAAGAGTCAGAGAGTTTGTTGATATTGGCATACAGCAAGGTTCCCAGGTTACAATATTAAATACAGCAGACATCTCACCAGCCCAGGCTCCATCCCCCGAGCAGAAGATGAAAATGACAATGACTTTTATAGGTAACTTGCTGCTGGTCTTTCCAGGCTTCAGTGGGGCTGGAGCACTATCACAGGAAAAGTGGGTACAGTCAGCACCCAAGGCAGCAGGGCCAACATGGTTATTAGAAAGATCTTGTCCACAAGACTGCTATTATGCCTAACATAATAGTTGCTCCAGCAACAAGACTGATGAAAACCTGAGTAAGGTTTCGACGTGTCTGCAAAGCAGGACATATCCAGGTTGGGAAAGAAGAAGGTGAGGAGTTGTAGGACAGTGAATCCCAGGGCCCTTGCTCAACTCCTGGACTCAGGGAGTTTGAAGTGGAAGCTCAAAACCAGCCTGAATTACACAGCAAAGCCGTGTCTCAAAACAAAACAGCCAGCCATGGTGGTACACACCTATAATCCCAGCATTTGGGAGGGTGAGGCTGGGGGATTGCCTTGAGCTCCAGTCCCACGTGGGCTACACAGTGAGTTCAAGGCCACCCTGAACTACAAAGTAAGACCCTGTCTCACAAAATCAAAAAAATAAAAAATAAAATAAGTAAAAAAAAAAATCATCACCACCACCATCATCAACAACAAACCCCTACAACAACAACAAATTCTGTCACAGAGACAGAAAAAGATGCTGAGACTGGGCTGAACCATAGGAACTTCCCCTCCATAACGTTAAAGTGATGGTTCTTGTAGGAACCAAGTAGTGGGAAGCTGGTTGCAATGAACTCTTTTCATAACAGAACGGCACAATTGTGTGTCATCACTGGAGTGCCACTTGTGCTTCCTCAGAGGCCTCTGCTGGGGCATGTCCCATGGCACGGCCTCTCATGGACCTCCCCAGGGACTGTTTCATGCCAGCAAGGCTGATGACCAGCAGCTGTAGAGGCAGCGTGGGGCACATGCTCTGAAACTGTGACTAAGTCACTGGGTGCCACTCACCCATGGCCGGAAACTGTGAGCAAATTCAGGAGTGGCTTCTCGGGTGGCTTCATGACACCCTTACAAAACATCTTCTTCCCACCCAGTGCCCCAGGAGAGAGAAGCTGACAGACCCCAGCAGCCCCGTGTGGCCTCTTCCACAATGGGGAGGTGTACACAAGGGAAATATGGGTGGCCCCATGCCCACTGTCACCACAGTTCCTCATTCAGACTTGAGCAACAGCTTTCACATGTATCTTCCTTCTTCTGGGACACAAAATTAGGACCCGTCATGCCCACTGACTCAGTCTTCCTCCCCACAGTATCCCTGCCCTTCTGCCTGGCCACCACCTGGCTCCTTCACAGCAGTGTCCTCTCTCCCACCCGGTGTCTGGGCTCCAGTCCCTCTGACCTCTGTGTGGGCCTCAGAAGCATCAAGTTCCTGCTGCATGTTGCCAGCATCTCTCTTCCTCCAGGTCCTGCCTTGCCATCTCCTGCTCAGGCTTCACTCTCTACTCCATGGTCACGTCTGCTCCTACCTAAGACCCTGCTAGCTTGACACGTGGGCCTTCTCCAGAGCTCTATTTTAGGTATTTACTACGTACGCCCTTTCCCTTCCCTCTGCTGATTGTGGTTGGTGTTGTTTAAATTTACCGCAGTGTAAAAACACTCAAAAAGGCTCTGTGACAAACTGGAGGAATAATTATACTCAGAGGCCCTACCTTTGGAGGTGTCTGCTACAACTGATGAGCCCTTCTGAGTGTCCCTAGGGAAGGAGGGAGAAGGTTTTCCATGACACTCGGAGTAAGGACACCATATGAGTGACACTCATCTGGAAATGAGGCCCTCTAGCCTGCTGTACTTCCTACAAACCTACCTGCCCATTATGCGCTTGGTAATTTATTCTTCTCACACTGTAGTGTAAGTAACGTTCACCACGACCGCCTGGTGTGTGGTAAGCAATCCCTGGGGAGTGAATGAGTGGAAGGAGCGCGTGACCACATGTAGGACCTGCTCCCGTTCCAAACACCAGCAGGGCTTCCCTGCTTCTGTGTACTCAGGAAACCCTAACTCCTGCCACAAAGACAGAAAGAAGCAAGGGGGCCTGGAGGCACCCTATCCAGCCCTTCTTCCACAGCCATCAGGTGGTGGGCATGTCACCTGAGCTTGGAGAGCCAAGTCCACTGCCCAGGAACCGACATAGTGCAAGTTTGGCCGCCCGCCTTCCCATGGTGGTGTCGTGGCCAGTCCTGCACTGCACATCTGTGGTAGGGCCTCTGCTCCGGGAACAGCCCTGATGGCCATCAGTGTCCAGCCATCCCTCAGGAGCACCTGACACCCTGTGATGTAGACCCTTTGCTAAGCTACCAGAGATAGTTTCTGTTGCCTTTCAACAAAAGAATCCTAAACACACAAATAAAAACCCCAATTCCCAGTTGGGCACACCTGTGATCCCAGCACTCTTGGAGGGTGAGGCAGATCCCAACTTTGAGCCCAGTCCAGGAAACTTAGCAAAACCTTACCTTAAAATAAAAAAAGAGCTGGGGTGCCTAGTGTAGTGTAAAAGCCCAAGATTCAATTCCCAGTGTCATAAAAATTAAATAATTAATTAATTTTAAAATGAAACAAAAAGTCTTACAGAAGGCATAAAATAGGCCAGTGGTGGTGAACCTATGGCACATGTGCCACAGTGGGCTGTTCATATCACTGAAAGCTCAAAAAGGTTCACCACTGAAACAGGTTGTTCACATGTGTGTAAGGGTTAGAAGAGAAAACTGTAACATTCCTAATATTCTAATGACACTATATCCATTTTCCCATTCTTTATAAATCTTTGATCATTCATATGTGTGTATGTTGTCCATTGATGCAGACTCAGTATATGCTCTTGGTTGAATTCTGTTCTTCCACAAGATGAGGAGGTTCTTAATCCCAAGCCCATGAATGTGATCTTCTCTGGAAAAGTCTCTATAGGTGACGGAGTTAAGAAAAGATCTTAAGAGTGGGCTCAGATCCAGTGAGTGGTGTCCCTATGAAAGGAGAAAACCTGGGTCGAGACAGACACAGGGAGCCATCAGGTGAACAGGAAGGCAGAGATGAGAGGACACATGTGCCAGCCATGGAAGTCCTGATGCTACCAGAGGCCTGGAGAAGCCTGGTGTGGTTTCTTTCCCACAGCCTCAAAAGCAACCAGCTCTGCTATACTTGGCTCTGGGATTTCCAGCCTGAGCCTAGCTTCTTCCTGGAATACCCCTTCCAGAAAGTCAACTTCACAGGCACCATAAGGGGGCAACTTGTCAAATTTAGAGTCACAGGCATCTCATAGACAGAGCACCCATCCCATAGGGGATGACACCCCCTCTTGCTGAGGGGAGCTGCCCAGGCCCAGAGAGCATGGAAGTTACACATCATCTGGGCTCCTCAGGCCCACAACAGTCAGGCCATGGGCCCAGCAGTTTCCGAGAGCGCAGCCAGCCCCAGGAGACTTACCGTTGGACGCTCGCATCTGCCGCCGCCGGCCCACGCGGTCCAGCCCAATGGGGGTGCTCTGGGAAAAGGTGAAGGGCCGCAGCCGGGCCGACACGGCCCTGTAGGGTGGCACCTGGTGGGAGGGCACAGGAGGCCTGGCTGCAGGCTGAGGAAGGAAAGCACAAAGCTGTGAGGAGGTGCCAGGAAGTCACAGATCCCGCGAGCGACAAGCTGCACAGCATTCTCACCTCGAAGCCACCCACAGATGTGAAACGTCTTCTCCCAAGCCTGCCAAAGCTGCAGGCTGCGCCAGGCTCAGCTAAAACATTAACAGTCATTAGTAGCTCACTGGCCCACAGCAACATATTTCATCTCATTTATAGGCAGCGCACCAGTGGGGAACACTAAGCAGTGGTGAGTGTAGGGACAGAGGAAAGGCAGACTTAGGCAGTGGTAGGATCCCACACAGCTGCAGTGCAAAGTTAAGAGGCCTTGGCTGGAGCAGCCCCTGCAGGAAGTGAGAACAGGCCACAGAGCCCAGTACTTAGTGTCCCTCAGCCTCACTGCACATCTCCTGCAGATCCTCTCATGGAACCTCCAATATACAGCCCCACACTGGCTTCTGGATGTGAAGAAACTAGTAGGACAGTGTGAGCTGAGTGTATGTACATGTGTTATTGTTTTGCGGCACTGGGGATTTAACCCAGGGAGCGCTAAGCTATACCTCCAGCCCTTTTTTGTTTTATTTTGAGAAGGCGCCCCACAAAATTGACCAGGTAGACCTTGAATTTGCAATCCTCCCACCTCAGCCTCTCAACAAGCTGGAATTAGCAGCACACAGCACCATGCTCAGCTGAGCTTCATCTTAAAGAGCTGGTTTTTGGGCTATATGTGATGCTATACACCCATAACCCCAGCCAGCATTCTAAGAGGCAGAGGTAGAGGCAGAAGGATCACAAATTTAAGCCAAGCTTGGGCAACTTAGTGACTTAGCAAGATTCTATGTCAAATAAAAAATTTAAAAAGTGTTAAGGATGTAGCTCAGTGGAAAGGCTCTGGGTTCAAGAGTTGATTTAGGGGCTAGAGATGGAGCTTAGTGGTGGCACTCTGGTCTTTGGAATTCTGAATGATGCCCTTCCAATCTTCCATATTAATGATCCCTAAAACCATATATATCAGAGGTCCACTTGGCTCATGTCTTCCTTGGGTTTTAACAAATTTTTTTCCACACAACTCCCTAAGTTAAGTTACAAGGCCGAAAGTTATTTCACTATACTTCTTTTTGAGGCTCTGAGGTGAAATCTTTCCTAAGTGTTTTAAATAGTCCACATATTGTTTCCCAGCTTAAAACAGATTATAATTTGGTTTAGTTCAGAATCATTTCCTACCAGGTAAAGCATCTTAAACAAAAGAGTCTTAAAATTTTTGTGTATTCTTTAACTTCATTTGTTTGTACTCTAAGAATTCAACTTAATGCGATTGAATTCAAAAAGGTTTTTTTTTTTGTTTTTTGGTACCAGGGATTGATCTTGGGACCCTACACTGGTGAGGCAGGCGGCAGAACCTCTGAACTAAATCCCTGGTCCTCAACAAGAGTTTTTGAGTGCTTCTTACAAACAAGGCATTGTGCTAGGCTTTACCAGGAGACTACCAACATGCAACCAATCCAAGACTAATGTAAACTTTCTCTTTTAAGAGAGTTTTACAGGTTATTTAAGACATCACTAGCAAGTTTTAAACATGAACACGGGCATATATACTTTTCATAGACTGATCTGTGAATATCTGACTACAGCTAGGGTTTTGGCCTTGACAAATAAGCATGAACTTCTCCAGAATGTGGCCTTTATTTAAATGTCATACATCTTCAGAATGCATAGTGGGCACTTGATAAATATCTAAAATATTCTAAGGGACCAAGAGAAAATGTTTATTATCAAACCAGCTGCAACATTGTAACAAAAAAAAAAGTAAGGAGGAGCTGGGGATGTAGGGATGTAGCTCAGTGGCAGAGCACATGCTTAGCATGTAAAAAAAGTCTCTGGCTTTGAGCCCCAACATGATACAAAAGGGAGACGAAATGAATTTTCATAGGTGATATGGAGTCATTTTTTTCCTCATTATTTTTGTTGTTGTTTATTTTCAGTGTTGGGTATTGAATGCAGGGCTGTGCATGTGTAAGGCAAGCACTCTGCCACAGAGCTACGTACCCAGCCCTCCCATTTCTTCTGTATTTTCCTATCTTCACATTTTAACAAGGAACCATGTTGTGTTTAAAGACTCACTTCTTGCAGGATGCTTACTAAATATGTCCTACTACTTTTCCCTGGATGAAATTGTAAGTTGCTCAGAAGTAAGGACCAAACTAGTTTCATGTTTAATCTGAGATGCTAGGAAAGAAAGATTAGTAAGAAGGCGTCCAGATGTTAGATGGTTAGTTTTGAATTTGTGCATGTTTTCAGTCAGGAAGAAAGACTGTGAGTGTCATCCTGGAGCGAGAGAGGAGAGAGGACAGCAGCTTCCAGTTTAGTCTGGGCAGGAGAACAGAGGCCAGGGAGCTGGAGAGGCCTTGTTGGCTGTGGTAGAGGCACACAGGTCTTACTTGGGTTAGAAGGCTCTCCATCTCCTCTGGCTGGGTGCTGCCATATAAGCTGACTCCTCCAATCACAGAAATGGGGCGTCTTCTCCGGCCTCCTCGAGGGCAGCTGGCTGAGGTCTGGTCTGCAGAACTAGTGGAGGCCACGCTCACTGCGGGCAGCCCATCCACATAGTCCTCACTCTGTGGGTGCACAGCAACAGAGTCTTCAGGAATGGACAAGCTCCGGCTGGTCAGCTGGCCATAGTCCGACAGTGGTCGAGGTCCAATCTTCCTCCCAGAGCCCCATTTCCTCCTGGAGATTCTGGCTGCCTCGATCCTCTCCTCTTCCTGGGATGAGCCTGGCCTCCAGGGTTCACCAGTCACAACCTTTCCAAACCGAACAGGTTAGGTGAGCTTCAAGGTCCAGGTGGGAGGGAAAGAAGAACAGCGGCCACCTGCTCTCATTCTCCCAGCCCCACCTTGGATTCTCTTTTTATCTTTTCTAATTCTTTTCAGACTTTCTTGATTTACTCCTCTTCCTAAAAGAATTATTTGTGCAATTGACATTGAGGACACAACTTGACACATAGATTAAAAGAACCGAATCCATCTTTCATTCCAGGCTGAACAGAAGCCACAATCTAAGTAGAAACTTTTGCCAATCAATGATTAGCCATAAGAGACCTGAAGAAAACCAGCACTGCTATTGGGCTGGCAGAATGAACTGATAACCATGGCAGACACAATAGCACGGGGAGCTATAGAGCTGCCATGAGAGTGCAACATGATCCAGGGCTGCCCTTTGGTGTCTTCTTTCAATAATGTATGCTACTTCAAGATAAAAGGCCTTGGAAGAAGATTAGGTCCAGAACTGATGGTATTCAAGTTCAAGGAGCTTGCAGAGCTACAAGCTGGAGAAGTAGATGAGGCTACTAACTAGCTGTGTAGGTTTAGACAAATCTCAGCTAAGCTTTTTGGATCTGATTTCAGACTGGACCCAGCTCACAGCTCAGGTTCTGTGACTCTCAGTGAGGCAGGATTCTTTCTGCTGTGGGGAAGCTTCAGTGGCGAGCACCCAGGGTACAGTACACCCTAGGCGTGGGATCTATCACTAAGGTCCCAGTCCTCCATTCAACGTTTCAAATCATTTCCTCAGAGGCAACACAATGGACTAGGACAACATATGAGGTTGGAATCAAGGAGATTTCTCCTGTGTGGGCCACAAGCTGGCCCTGTATCCTCAGGCAGATTACTCAGCTTCTCCCACTGGTTCTGCAACTGTCCACAGCCCAAGAGAGCTAAGATAACGTCTTATCAGCAGGAGTGAGCTGTCACTCTGGAGACAGGCAGAGGCTGTCTCCAGCAGATCCTTCAAAGTCTGACACAAAGGAGGGCTGTGCCCGAGCTATGCCAAATGCCTGCACTGCTTCCATCCCCATGCATTCTTTAACATAAAAACAAAAGAGCCAGCTGGCCACAGCACAGGGAGGACAACTGGGACACCAGAGACAGTAAGGATGCTCGTGCCAGAAAGCAGTGTGTGCCAGCAGGGCAGACGACGTACGACACAGCTCTGGCAGCCCCTCCCTATGCTAGGCTGGTCAGGCCTGAGCAAAGCTAAATGAATGGTCCCAGAAGTCATACCTGTCTAAACAGTTTCTAAGACCACACTCCTCAGCGTGCGTGTGGCTTAGCGCAGAGCACTCGCCTCGCACACGAGAGACCACACACACCACGGAGATACCACGGAGATAAAGGTATCTACGCGGGAGGAGAGCCCAGGCAAAGGAAAGGACTATACATATTCTACTTTCGTTTTCAAACTAGAATTGAGACTAAAGAAGTAAAGTGACCTGGCCAGGGCCATCACTAATGAATGCCAGCAAAGGCTCGGACAGGCGGTCCTGCTTGAGAGGTTTCTGTTTCCCTGAAGTCTCCTGCAGGTCCTAGTAATGGTCTCTATTGACTCTTATTCCCCGGAATGCTGCCTTAATTCAAGTCACCACAGCAGAAGTTTAGAGTATACTATTCTTTATCTGTAATTATTCTATTATTTGAACCAGTCGCTCAGTTGCACAGGTTGGATTTGAATTTGCAATCCTCCTGCCTCACCCTCCCAGAGTGTAGGGTTACAAGCTCACACAATGTCTCCTGCCTCAGATTATGCTGCTGTAGCATAAGAATTATGCTGAGCCTGAGGCATCTGAGAATGGGCTTTCTTCCCCTGCTGAACTCTGTTTTCCTGCCTGCAGCCAGAGGAGGAGAACCCACACCTCTGTAGACACTGTTACAAAACTATCTTATCTCCAATCTCTCCTAAGAGCCACTTATCTTTCCTAAAAGACATTGGCTTCTCCACTAACATCGCTTTCCCCTCTCCAGCTTCTCTAATAAGGCAATAAATAAAACCTAGACTCTAATCACCTACTGGAGTCATATTTTCTCTTTTAAAAATAAATTTTTTCTCATTCTCCCCACAAGCCCCACCTCTTCCCTATGTGCAAAAGCTTTGCTTCCATTTTTCCTTCTATTTTCACTTTTTTTTGTCTTTTCCTTCCATTTTTCTGTAAGCTCCTGCACACCTACCATATGCACACGTGTGTAGACACACACATACACACATGTATCTTTCATTTGCTAAGCTGTCTTTCTTTCTTTGTCTGTTAGAGGTTCTGGGGATTGAACCTAGGGCCTTATTAGGCAAATGCTCTACCACTGAACTACTACTCCCATTGCTATCTGTCTTTTATCAGTTTAATTCACAGGCCTCCGAGACCTAAACCTAAGAGGATACAATTTTTCTCTCCAACATTGCTGCTTTGGAAAAATAAAGTTACAATTATTTTCTGAATTACTTATGAAGAACAGATGATTATCGATGGTTAAAATAAATTATCTGAACAGATGACACAGACAACCTAAGTAAAGAGTAAGAACAAATTCGTTTGACCTGTGGCCCTGTACCACAAAGCCAGAGCAAAGGAACAGTCTACCTACTCACAAAGCTATGTGTAGTTTTTGTAGTTTTATTTCTTTTTCCTTGTGGCTGGAAGATTCATTTGTTTTTGCACTTATGCAACAATAAGGAAATAGTCTGGGAAGTACTAAGGGCTGGTGGAGGCAGGTGTGCCTGAGCAGGTGAAGAGGCATGGGATTATCCCTCTAACGCCCATGTCTCAGTACAGCCACACATGTTAAAAACAAAACTATGTGGCACCACACCTGCCTGGCAAGCACAAGGTCATGAGTTCAATCCCCAGTACCAGGAAACTCCAAACCAAAACAAAACAAAATTACAAAACTATAACCTGACTTTCAGTGTTCATAGTTTTCCTTGGTCTAGAAAAGGAGAAAGCACCCTGCCTGTTGTACCAAATGTTCTCAGAACCGCAGAAACTGGTGAACAGTTTATACGCAAAATTGAAATGAAATGTCCATTTCACTTCCAGCTACTAACAAGAGGGAAGGACAGGGACACCCTGAGGTTTATGATTATATTCAAACATTGGTTCTTAGGCAGAGGAGAATTAAATCCTTTGTAAAAACAAATTTGAACACTAATGGATATTGTATTTTTCTTCCTTTGATTTTTTTTTGGGGGGGTAAGGCACAGTATGGGGATTTAAACTCAGGGCCTTCAATGCTAAGCTATATCACTAGCCCAGTTTTTATTTCTAGACAGGGTCTTACTAAATTGCTAAGTTGCCGTGGCTAGGCTAGAAATTGTAATCCTCCTGACTCAACTTCCGAGGGTGCTGGGATTATAGGCATGTGCCACCATGGCTGGCTGTAAAAAAATTTTTTTTAAATACACTTCACATACTTTAGAAACACAGCCCAGGTTTATTTCAGGCAGTGTAGTTTTCGATTATTACTGGAACTACAAAAACACACACCAATGCCTTCTCCAACAAGCTGAACCTACCTCAGACTCAGCCATGGGCAGGGGCATCCCGCAGACACTCTGAAGGAACAGGTAATTGGCCAAGTCCATGTTAGGCAGTCCTTCCTGCCTTTGAGAGGCTGCACTCAGGGCTCTACATGGCCTCAGGGCCTACACAGTGACCTGGCCTGCAAGTCCAAGCCACAGCTTCCTGCGTCACTATAAGCTCAATGGCCAGTTCATTCCCAAGTTGTAAACACCTGCAAACAGTCTGCAGGAGGTGCAGCCCTTTTAACTCTTGCTTTTCCATGTACTTTTCACATACTTTCCCTAGTCACTAGAATAACACTTCCTTCCTATACAGGATTCTTTCTTACTTGAGGAAACCAAAAAGTCAATATTGGGTGTTACCTCCAGCAAGACACTTCAATACATTTTTTTAAAGTCACAGGAAAGGCAAATTATTAACCTGAGGGAAAAAGAAAAGATCTCATAAAATAACTTGATTTTACCTGTATCTACTCAGAAGCCTGACCTACACAAGGGTATAGGATCAAGCGGCAAGCAAGTGCTGCGGGGTGACTGTGTTCCCTGAAAATACTGTATGAGTCACAGAAAACAAAACATCTGACCCAAGAATGTGACAGTTTGGAGATTTAATCTCTGCACAAGTCATCAAGTTAAAATAGTCATGTAGACTAGGTGGGCTCGTCCAATGGCTTGCTATACTTAATAACAGGGAAATGTGGGTGTAGACAGACACAAAAAGGAGGAGGTAAGATAACAGAGGCAGGAGGCGGAGAGTGGAGTGACGATCTATAGAGGAGCACCAGGATGGCCAGATGTCACCAACAGCTGCATAAGGCAAAGACAGCTCCTCCCTTACAGCGGTGCAGGGCTCACAGCCCATCTGTATCTTAATTTGAACTCTAGCCTCTAGACTGTTAGAGAATAAATGTCTGGGTTTCTCTGTTTGTTGTTTTGAGAAGAGTCTCACTATGTTGTCCAGGCTGGCCTTGAACTCCCTATGTAGCCCAGCCTGCCTCACGCTGCCGAGTGCTCGGATTACAGCCTGTGCCACCATGTCTGTCTGGTTCAATGTCCGTGGTTTTAAATCACCCAGTTTGTGATAATTTGTTATGGCAACCCCTAGGACTCTAATGCAGCAAGATAATTCAGAAGAATATGAGAGGCACAGAAACTAAAGATGCTCTGTGACGATCTGAAAAAAATCAAAGGAACTCTGATGAAGCCAACAGTCTTTTTGTGGTATATATTAATGCAACAAACTAAGCTCTCAGATTTTCCCCAGGGTACCACATCTCTGGATACCACAGGGAATTTAGGCATAGAGATGCAGGTGAGGAGGATAAACACTTGATAAATAACACTGTAGAAGACACAACAACAGGAAAGAATGTGTACAGCACATGAGACCTAAGCTAGGTCCATGGTACCTTATGTAATCCTCACAACCACCCTAGGAGACAGATGCTATTTGCCA